TTCTAGTTTTCTGTCAATGACATCTTCTTTGCTTCATGATCTCTGCAGTTGTGTAATATTGATTCCACTTTTTTGATCCTCCAGCTGTTGCGCAACCTCTGATGTCCTATTGGGAAAAAAAAGTATAGTAAATTCCTCTTGAAAAATTTGAAAAGAGAAGTTTTTGTTTTTCTTTTTCCACACCATTTTTTTTCCTTCCCTAGAATAGTTTCCAGCTCAATGTATATAGAAACCTGCTATACCTCAACCCTATGCCTTCCTCTAGGGCCATCTGTATTTAAGATATGTGAGCTGCGTGTGAACCCCGGCATTTATTTTTCATGCACAGATGCACCTATACAGGTCTGGTTTGTGGCTTTGATACAGATTGCATAAAGTATTAATGCCTTAGCACTACTGATGATGAAGCTCTATAGACTGCCCAAATTGGGATAATAAAAACATATGAATACATATCCTTGTGAGATGAACATTCTAGAGATGAACATGACACACATGCCATGTGGAGGAAAAGGGTTAACCTTGCTGATAAAAGTGACAAGCATAAACAGCCACAATAATATAATCAACTTAATCTGCATCATGACTGCCCTTGACAGACTTTTCTGTTGAATTCCACTGTCAGTCTCTCAAATGTATATAAATATGACTTATTAAACATAAATATTACATATTACATCTTTTGCTAACTTACAAGATACCAACATCAATTGAAAAGATGACAACAATAATGATAAAAAGAAAATATTCACTGTAGGAAGTAATACCTTTACAAGAGAATGTTGCAAGAATTCATTGGCTGCCAAAAGAAGTACCCTTTCTGTCTCATCTAATTTGAGCTACACTGATTAACAACTTACAAAATGAACAATGAAAATATAGCTGGAAGTGTCTTGTAACTTGAAAGAAAATTACATCATTAATTTTATGTATCCATCAAAGACTGACAATAATAAGCCATATGGATTATATCTTAAAAAAAAAAAATAAATAAATACATAAATAATAAATAAATAATAATAATATATATTAAGAGTAACATACTACAACTAATACTATGAAATACAGCTCCAAAATACTGACTAATCTTACCTGCTGTTTCTCGGGGTTTTTCACCTCCACGCCCTCTTCATTGAATACAATCTTGGTGTTGAGGATAATGTTCTTCTTCATTAGCTTCTTGACGACAGCTTGTTTGGTCAGGGGCTTTTTCTTGGAACTGACAACAAGATCTTCAGGGAATGATGCTGATTCTGAGGACTCCTCCTCCTCCTGTATAATTTCAGCTTGTTTTTCTTGGTGCTTGTTAAGAAGTCCTCCTCATCAATATCTTCTGCAGTGTCAAAAATTGATAATGATGGCAATGATGATAATAGTAATAGGTGCTGTGTAGGTATAATTATAATGAAAATGACATAAAAACAATGAAGTAACATCTAATAATAATAACTATTAACAATCAATTAGAACAGATGCATATCAATTCTAACACTACAAAGCCTGCAGGAAAGGGACTGGAAAACAAAGAATAAACAAAGGAGGAAAACATGACAGAACCAGAAAAGAAAAGAAAATAGGACAGAAAATAGAAGAAAGGAGGGAAGAATAATACCATAAATCTTCTGCAGAGGAGAGGAGGAACATAGCAATAATTATTAGAAATCTACAAGAAAAAGAACTATGAAATTTGAGCCAAATTATTATTAGAAACATCAAACAGAGATACAGAAAAAAAAGACAGAAAAGGCGCATTAATCAATCTATTGCATATACTGTTCACTTTTTTCTCTCCCTCTTTTTATTCTTAATATAGAAAACCCATTTATTTATATATTCTAAAACTTGAAATATCACAAACTAAAATTATTTTCAAGCTTCTTAAGAAAAAAAATTGTGCATGATTTAAAGATGCTTTATATATACACACACACACACACACATATATTATATATATATAATATATATAATAATTTATTATATATATTTAATTATATTAATATATTTATTTTTTTTTTTTTTTTTAGATAAAAGAAATATATATGAAGATATATATTTTTAATACATACTTCTTATATTCATATAAGCCTTATATTCATAAAATTGTGCAAGTAGATAGGCACAAGCAAGAACCCATCCAACAAACCAAAAAATCTGTTGTTACATAATTATGATTCCACTGAAATCTAATCTGAAAACGGCAGTCAAAGGTCCAAAATTCAGCCAACAGTTATTTTTATAGCAATTAATTCCAGACCAAATGATGAAAAAATACCAAAGAACTTCAAATAGCAGGCCTATAAGATTCTTGGACACCTAACTTTCAGGTTATAAGACTAATATTGCATGAATGACAAGGCAGTAGTCCAAGAACTGCTGGCTGCTCTCCCATTCAGCTGGAAAGTCAGTAGTACAAATACACTCAATCAACTGTCCTCACTTTATGGGCTAAATCAATGGTGACACCATACCTGTTCCAAAGTCCAAGGTCGTAAATTTGGATTTCCAGGGCTTCTCGTCTGCTGAGCAATTCCAGTTGTGTGTATCTTCAGTCTGTTTTGGTCTCTGCTTCTTTTGATTCTGAAGAAATCTTAGTCTAGGTGTAACAGCCAAACCTAGTGACCTAGTTGTGATGGAAGAGAAAAATGAGATTAATTATAAATTTTTATATAAATTAAAAGGTAATAATATAAATATAGACAGGGATTTATATTTTACACAAAAATTTATATTCCACTCCCTCCTACTCCATACCTAGCATAAGCGTCGATATCTATTGAGTCGACATTAAACACCTTCTTGTCCTTCATAAGAGTAACACTTTTCACGTATGCCTTAAACGCCGAACGGATTCCTCCTTCAGCTCATTGTTCTTGCTTAAGATGATTTCCATCTTGGTGTGGATGCTGCTCATCTTGGATGTGTCCACCCTGGGACCAAAATTTTAGCTTTATTATTACCATTAATGGGGACATAAAGATAAAGGAAATTGGATTATGCTAAAACTCCACAGGACATAAAGAGGAAAGAGAGAAAAAAATATAAACCTGTTAAATAAAAGTGACTTAGATATTGCCAATAGTTCTCATGATACAATATTGCTTCTAGGACAAAGATTTGAACAGATGCAAAAAAAGAAAAAAGTGTGGGGAGGGAAGCAAAGTAAGGAAAACAGCACTTGTTAACAACTGCATAAATTAACAAACATACAAATATAGGCTTACTCAATTCTATCAACTTCAATATTTTTTGCTTTTAAATTGGCAAGCATTGGTTCTTCTTCATGAGGTGTGAGGACTAAAACAGCTTCTCCTGAGTTAGCATATCGAGCCGTTCTTCCAACACGGTGGATATATGTTGTGACGTCTTCAGGACAGTCTATTTGTACTACCCAATCCACTGCTGGTATATCTGTAATAACACCTCATAAATAACCATACAATAATAAATAAAATCAACTCATTCTCTCACAGTTGCATGTACAGTACATAAAATGAATGGTAATACTCTAAAAAGACTGAAAGGTTATATCATTTTCCAAAAAGAAATATTCAAATGAAAAAGATCCTTACTTGACAGCAACTATTCCTGAAGCACAGATATAATAAAAAATTACATTTTTTCTAAGGTTTTAGGTTTAAAATATACTATTTAATATGCTGATATGTAAATAACCCCCAAAATCAGAATGGGTGAAATGTGTTAGATCAGGTGGGCTTATGAAATGCCAGAAATCTGTAATGTCCCCTGTTTGTTTTGTAATTTTTTTAAACAGAAATTGTTGCGTACCTGCTCAGCCACCAAGGAGTTAATTTGCAGGTTACATGATTAAACCTGTTTTCCCTTTCCTATGAAAAATAATACTAATAGCAATAAAAAAAAGATTAAAATAGTATTTCCAAAAATCAAGGAAAAGAGTAAACAGGTGAGATAAGTAGGGCTAAGCAATACTGAAGGCATGTATGTGTAAACAAAATGAATTAAAATTACAGTGGACATTACATTACAGAAAAGTATTGTGAGGAGTGGTCTTCGAAACATTCAATATTGAATAAGACCTTATGTTATGGAAGGGTTGATATTTTCAGTTTGAATTTGTCTCGTTCTAATTCATGTCTAAAATTGCCATTCCGGAATTCATATGGATGATGATTCTATTCACGTAAGGAACTGAATATGCCTTACACTATTCAGTTAAACCACACATACCCAAAAGTATTTGGAAAAACAGGGATTCCAACAGTCTCATTGAGTTAACAACTGTATTTCAATACGTGCATGAATGTTTAGCATGATTTTCCAATGATATTTTCTGCGTAGCTGTACATGCATGCCATATCTAATGATAATGGTTAAGCACTTGTGAAGTCATTTATGTGCAAATAACGTAAAAGAAAACTGCAGCGGACAGTGCATACAACTGGGCACATTAAAATATCCTAAAATATCCAATAGTATGATAACCTTACCTAATCCTCTGGATGCAAGATCTGTTGCAAAGAGAACAACATTTTCTTTCTGACAGAAAATGTCATATACAGCCAGCCTTCTTAATTGGTTCATACCTCCATGTAGGCACAAAACAGGCACTCCTGCATTAAGTTTACAATATATATCAAACATGTATTTTGCCTGAAAAAAAAAGTGAAGGCATTAGTGTCTGGATTACATCTGAGACACAACCATTGATTTCTTTTTTGTTATATAAACTTTGATATTCATTACAAATAATTTAGTGCTGAGCTTAGGGGGAAAATAAGCAATTAAAAGATAAAATCTCTCATATGTTAATATCAAAAACTTCAATGGAAAAAAGATAAACAATATAATTCTTACCTGTTTACATGTTGACATAAAAACAAGAATTTTATTTTTCCTATGATGTCTGATAAATGACCATAGGAATGTAAATTTTTCTTCACATTTACAAACAATATAACTTTCTACAAGACCCCTTGGTGTTGCGGTTTTAGAAAATTCATGAACAGAACAAAACACTGGATTTTTGCATCCTGCCCGAATCAGATCCTTGACGTCCCTGTGAACATTCCAAAAAAAATTAAACAAGTTATTTCTATTAATAATAATAATATGTCTGTGCCATAATAATCACATCTGTGAAACAATATTTTCTTTTGGTCTCAAACTGGTAATGAAAACAGCAAAGCTATAGCAGAGAAAAGTTCTGCTTTTTCTAACAGCTGTATCATGAGGTTTGTAACTGACCTGGTTTGTGTTGCAGAAAAGAGCATAGTCTGTCTATCTTCCGGCAACTCTTCAAGAATACAATTCATTGTCTCTGCAAATCCCATGGACAAGCACTGATCTGCTTCATCTAGGACAAGCATCTGTGGATAAGATTTTAAAATCATGTTTCCCTGAAGTAAATGTCACTAACAAAATTTATGTGTTCAAAAATCATATAATTTCAAAGTGGCTTTGATATTTCAAATAATTCTCAAATCACATGTGCTTACTTTGCCTTTTAATTTGATTTATTAAATGTTTACACCATCACTTGCAATAGTAGTTATAAAAATAACTACTATTGCAAGTGATGGTGTAAACAATTAATAAATCAAATCAAAAGGCAAAGTAAGCACATGTGATTTGAGAATTATTTGAAACATCAAAGCCGCTTTGAATTTATAGGCATTTTAATGGATCAGAACTAGTAAGATGAAGAAAGGGTCTTGAGAAAGGACTATGTAAGTTTAAGGTGCCACTACTGATATAAGACTGGAAAGTACTGTTGTAAATCACTGACCTGAACATATTCACAGCTGAAATCTGGGTTTTCTAACATGTGGTGGAGGAGGCGACCTGGTGTGCAAATCAGAATGTTGCATCCACTGATCAGGTTCCACTCATACTTGAGGTCCTTTCCACCTATAAAAGTGACAAAAAAGTAGTGTGTCATTAAAATAAAAGATTTTGAAATTAGTGTATTGCATGAAACAAACAAAAACAAAACTGTAAACCTTATCAATCCATGTGTTCTTCTCTGTGAACAATAGATTCTTACCTATAATAAGACCAGCCGAGAAGTCATGACTCTTTCCAACATTTTTTAGGACTTCAAATATCTGATAGGCCAACTCTCGTGTTGGGGTGATGATTAGTGCTCCCAACCCATCCACACTTGACCATTTCTTTACATATAAAATTTTCCAAAAGCTGCAAAAGAAATTATGCATTACATCCACCAAGGGAAAAATCATCATCGTTATCAGCACTATCATTATCTTTAATATATTTTCTTTCAAGTTACTGAACAACATGACACCAAAAAAATAATAAAAAGTCAATGAAGTCAATCACTTACAGGTATTATAAAAGCTAATGTTTTTCCTGACCCTGTCTTGGCTGCTCCCACCACATCCATGCCACGTAAAGAATACACTAGAGTCTGTCGCTGAACCTTCGTTGGTACTGTGAAACCGTTATGCTTGAGGCCTAGGAGGGTGTATTTACTCAGGGGAAACTTGGCAAAACTGTCAATTTCATCTGGGTTGACATTTGCCATCTGAGAAAAAAAATTGGAAGGATACAGGTATAGCTTTCACTTGTAAACTGAAGTAAATTATTAGACAGTTTTTCACTTATAGCCTTGGTAAATTATCAGATATAGATTTTTCACTTACACCTTAGAGAACTTATCAGAGAGAGGTTTTTAATCAATAACACAAATGTTTTTGTTTTATTTTTTTTCACTAGTAAAGATTTTCTAAACTTACTTCTAATTTCTTTTGCTCAAGCTCATTGATCTCTGATTCTTCCCTTAAAACTCTCGTCATACTCTTTTCATCCTTCTCTTCCTTGTTCTTGTGGACTTCTTCTTCCTTCTCTTGTCCATTGTGATTTCTTGATTTATGGCTGAATACTGAAAATATAACCAGAGAGAAAAAATCTCAATACCAAGTAGCTAACAGTTAATTGTTTCGAAAAAGTACAAAAATGTATACCTCTATGTTTTGAGCCAATAGGGTTCAGAAAAGTAATCAATAGCTACATTAGTAAATTGAAAAGAAAAAAAAAAAGAAAAGAAAGAAAGAAAGAAAAAAGAGATGAAAAGGAAAGGCATCCAGGCATAATCCTGCAATTCTAGCATTTTTAGTATCTGATGCTCATATGTGATAACAGATGCTTAAATATTTGATGCAAGTTAAATTCTGCATGAGTTGTAAGAACCCTTTAGATCAGATATAAAAGAATGAATAACTTTTTTTCTGGAAATATTCCAGATATATCAGCATACAAAATAAGTAATACTGGACTTTGAATTCATATTTTTTGTCTAACATTCATCATTTTCTAACAAAGCCAGTAATGAATAGCAAATAAATTAAAGTATATATACAAACACTGATAGATGGGGAGGGTATGATGGATAACAGAAATTATGGGAGAAGAGTGACCATTTGCACCTACAATACCAAGCTCGCCAACAGCAAAACAATAAGATTTTACTAACAAACAACGAAGTTTGTGACCTGATTAAGCCTAAGCTCTATTCTGCAATATATCAACTAATAAACCAGTCTTAGGAATAGGGGGGAGGGGCAGAAAAAAACAAAAGATTTAAACAATTTGAACTTCAAAGCACCCCAAAAGATTTAAACAATTTGAACTTCAAAGCATACTTGATACAAGTATGAATGATCCATATTGGCCTTTTTCTTACCTTTTAACTTGAATTTCCTTCAATATTTTTACTATTGCTCTCAGCCTTGCCTAAAGGAATCATAGCTGGGTTCACTTGCCACACAAAAGAAGCTATAAAAAAATAACCAACTTTTCGAGTAAAAAATCATGCACCTATTCAACATTTACCTGGATTAGCTTAAATTCTACTTGGTTTCCAAAGAGGTAGAAAGAATATTTGGAAGACAGTTACCCTACTTGACCTGAAGGCCCAGGATGGCAAATACACAAAAATGTCCACTCTAATTTTAGTTCATTCAAAGTGTCTAGAGAGATGGCTCTAAAAGTGCTTAGTCATCAAGGAATCAATCTATCTCACTTGTTTACCCTTTTCCATGATTTTCAGTTTTTTTTTTCATTGTTTTATTATTCTTATTCTTAGTATTCCAATAACATTATAATAATCATAATGTCAATAACATTAGTAAAAGTATCAATATCAACACTCCGGATCAAGGGACATTACCATCACATCATGAATTTTTTTTGGTGAATATGGCACAAGTACAGCAACAAAAAATGTCATGATGAGAATATTCCAGAATCCTATTCATGCCTACCAGTGCAGGATGCATTACAGAAATCTGAATATTACAAAAATATTTTTAAAAATGATAAATAAGAAAATGTTACTTATTGTTATTGTTATTCACAGAGTTATAAACAACCTAGAAAGATGCTATGAAGTTTGTGCAAGGAAAACAGTCTATTACCATCTTGATAAAACATAAATCTAGACCTTGAATAAAAGGCAAAAATGCTTATGCAGAAAAAATAAACACAGCAAAAAGGAAGCATGTGAGAATCACCACCCAAGTAGGCTTAATCCCCAAATTTTATCCCATGTGCAGGCAGTGAAGTACCCAGATCCAATGAGTTAACAGCAATGGGGGGGGGGTCAGATTTCAACACAAATTCAAGGAATGGGGAAATCATGTGGTCACTAAGGCCTAGTAATTAATTCCTTGGTGGCTGAACCCTTGTAGAGCCATCTGTGTTCAACAAAATACATTACAAAAACACACACACACACACACATACACACACACACACACACACACAAAACTACTATTACCACTACTACTACAATGAACAAAACATAAAACCAGGATGACTGGGTTCCTATCTGTTTCAACAGGATCACATCAAGCAACACCATGACCTCTATGTATTATATAGCAACAAAAAACACACATTTATCTAATGTATATTCAACAAAATAAAGAGGTCTTGTAAGAATGAATGGTCACTTTTCAATTGTGCACTTTACTACCACCATAACTATGATCAATCATATGTTACATTAAGTTTCAAACATCTACTTTATCTTACTTTAAGTCCAAAATGTTTTGAAGTATTGAATCAAGCCACTGATGCAGATGCCATTTATCCTTTACTCTCACAAACCTCCATGGCCATTTATTGACTTAGAAGGAAAAAGTCCATGCATTTTCAAGGCTGAATATATATATATATATATATATATATATATATATATTTATATATATTATATATATATATATATATATATATGTATAGGCAAATATGTTTATGGATTCCTTGTTATGTCTAGTGCGAATATATAGTGGTTTTTGTATGTGCTAGGCAACATTAGTGCTGATACAACACCCAATAGGTGAGGAGGGCATGAAGTATCATCAGGAAATTATAGGGATAGACTGTGTGGCATTCATGTATTTTGCACATTGATTGGCTGTACCTCATAAAATCCCCATAACTCATTACAGGCAAAATTTTCAATTATAATTGTCAGGGACTTGGCTGTTTTATAAGTGCTTCTTCATGTCTGGTATGTTGTTTAAATCGTGGCCATGCTCCCAAGCATCATTCCAGCTGCTAGAATTAAGGCTAATGATGTGAAAAACAATGCCCAGTGCTAGAGAAATATAAAGTATAAAAAAGGACCACACTGGCTAGGGAGTAATATTGACTGGAAAGGGGTCCAGCGGCTGAGCCTCTAGCTAGGAAACTACAGCAATCTGTGAGGGGTCAGGGGAAAAACTCCTGGGTTAGGAATGTTCATCTTTGTGGTAGGTTGTGTGTTTAGGATGGGGGTTACTTGTTTATTCATTCGAGTTGAGAACTTAGCCTCTGACATGTCCAGTCCTGTTGTATACATTAACAAGGACATTTTTGCTATGCAACAAGGCTTGAATGGGTTAAATCCAAGACCACATCTTCCCAAACATATTTATTTGTTAACCTTAAAGCTGGGTACAAATGCCCAATCATAATGACACTGGTATTGATGGATTCCTCTCACCCTACTAATATATGCGAGAATTATCCTACAGAAACCTCCCCCATAACTCACAAACCTGACCCTAATAGCAGGGAAGGGCAACATAGATACCAGGGAAACTGCAGGGTAAAAGAAAAGATAAATGATCCCACAGCATTAGACTATTCCATAACCTACTTCGCATATTCCTTCTATATTTTGATAGGCACTTGTGCTGCATTCGAAACTTCTCATCCTGCTAGTCCAGACAAGTTGGACAAGATTTTTGACCATTTGGAACCTCTACTTTCTCGTCCTGGACAAGTTGTCCATCTCATTCATCTTGCCTTCCTGCGAAGCTGGGCGAGCAGTACGATATAACATCACAATAGCATTTGTATGTAAACAATGACAGTTGCAGGCAACCACAAGATATGGATGGGTAATTTTATGGTCCTTTACTGATGTTATCAAAGGATATTTTTGTGTTTGTCAGTTGCAGGTAAGTTAAATATGCATCAAAAGATTTACAAAACCTATGCAACGTGTAAAATAAAGACACCGGTAAAATAAAACAATCAATGTTTACTTTCGAGATGGTTGCCTTCTGGGCAACGAGGGTCTTGGAGGTTCCCAACTTGGCCTATTACCCACATATCTAGAACACTGGAATATCTTTTTGGATTTGCATATGATTGCAACAATAAATGGTTAATAACAGCATGACGAGCAAAATCATACAATTATATAAATGTAAGTAAAACAGAAAGCTCACCAGTAATAACAGAAATATTGAACCTAGAAAATACAACTTTAATTTTGTTGAAATTCCACAAATATCAGCAATATATGGTAATACGGATATATTAGTATATTGTCTATATGCATACATACAATATTGATATCTCTAACCTTTGTACATTATTGTAATACGGATACATTAGTATATTGTCTATATGCATACATACAATATTGATATCTCTAGCCTTTGTACATTATAATGTTTTATTAGATACATTTTATCCATAAATCTAGTTTCCTACTGGAATACTATATTTTCTTTCTTTTCCTAACATGTTGGAATTGCCAAGGCCATATGGTCTGGAGGTCTATTTGACATTTCTGTGAAACATGGCCAAAGTGAAAGACGAGCAGAGCTGTGCTGAAATTGTGTATAGACTGGCCACAGGAATTATAGTATTTTCAAACAAAGTCAGTTTTCTTTGTTGTTCAATATCTACAACAGGGGTTAAGAATCAGCTGTCCCACATGGAGGGCTGCAGGGAGCATAGCTCCCTGATTTGACAGTATACAGATCAATTCTCTGTATATTATTTATATTCTGCCCTGCAATTTCCCTGGTGCCATCCTTGTCCTCTCTTGTTATCATGGCCAAAATTGTGGGTATTGGGGGTTTCCACAGTTTAATTTCCACATATTGGATAGTAGAGGGTGAGAAGAATCTATTGATACTATTGTCATTATGATTGACCTTGAGAATGTCTTATGGTAATTTTTCAAAATAGTGGCTTGTAACAGATCACACTGATTTTAGTGGATTCCTCTTAGGCCTGTACTTTTAAAACCTTTCGCCAGTTCTGGCGTTTGCCTGGCGAAGCTACGCCAGGCGAACATCTGAGTGAGGGAGGCCTTACTTTTAAACCAACGTTTGCCAGGGTGGGCGAAGGGATCTCCAGGCGCTAACATCTTGCATTCCTGCTAAATCTAGCGGTAATTTGTTTACATCTGCAGTGCACATAACATAACCTAAACTTAATTATTAACCTCGAGAGAAGACGAAAATGTTGTCTCAATAGTCTCACTTTATACTATAACAAAGGAGTTAAAAATTAACTTTATGCTATAACAAAGAAGTTAAAAATAACTTTATACTATAACAAAGGAGTTAAAAATTAACTTTATACTATAATAAAGTTAACTTTATACTTTATGCTATACTATACTTTATACTATAACAAAGTTAACTTTATGGCCCGTACTTTTAAAACCTTTTGCCAGTACTGGCAAACGATCGTATTGGAACAGCCTGGCAAAGCAAAGCCGTGAGAGCCCTCCCTTTCCTGTGCTTTCAAATTATAAATTAGTAACATATTTGTGTATGATATGATGTAGGAATCACATTGTAATTCTAAAATATCTTAAAATCATAATTTATTATGAAATAACGTATATACGTAGTTATTTCAAAACCTTTGATGTTCCAGTCGAGAGCTCAAGACATCAGCTGTATTCCTTCCCCCATCCCCGAGATGACTTATTTAGATTTAGGTTGTTATTTTGGTTGTAGGGATAATTTTCTTTTCTCAAATGTTACCAAAAGTTTTTGATGATGGCATGTTTACTACGGGCTATAGAAATATAGCTGTAGTACTTCGCCGCTCTATAATGAGGTGTGTCTAACCTAACCTAACCTAACCCTTGTAGCCCAACAGTTAACTATTTATATCGGTGAAGTATAGTAAAATGATTAATTTTTAACTCCTTTGTATAAAGTGAGGCTATTACGGATATAACATTATCGTCTTCTCCCGAGGTT